GGCAGAGCCAGACGTCGTGGCTGGTATGTGTTTTATCTTTCCTGCTTGATATTGATTTGCATTGCTTATGTATATATTGTACTTATGAATAGGGACCTTTTTGGTCAATGGTATGTCGGCTCACGTTATATTCAATTCGGGTGCTACCCGATCATTTGTATCTCTTGCGCTTAGCAAGAAGTTTCGGGATACGTCGGGAACTTTGGATTCCCCGCTTGAGGTGGAGATTGCGGATGACCGCACTGTGAGTGCTGCGAGAGTGTATCGGGACTGTGTCCTGAATGTGCTTGGAGAGAGGTTTCGTGTTGATCTAGTCCTGATACTGTTGCGAGGGCTGAAGGTGATTGTCGGGATGGACTGGTTAGGGGCCAACGGGGCCATGATCGATTGTGAACGCCAGTTGGTGAGGGTTCGAACCCCAAGTGGGGGAGAACTGGTTATTCATGGAGAGAGGGCCTCACAGGGGCCAACCCTCTGTTCAACTACGAGGCCTAGGAGATTTATGCGGCAGGGATGTACGAGATATTTGGCTTATATCTCGGATACGAGGGTTGAGACCACGACGGATTTGGGCAGTGTACCAATGGTACAGGAGTTTCGGGATGTCTTTCTGGAGGAGTTACCTGGATTGCCTCCGGAGAGGCAGGTGGAGTTTCGTATCGATTTAGTTTCGGGTGCCGCTCCGATAGCAAAGGCACTGTACCGGCTAGCTCCGCCCGAGATGCAGGAGCTATCTACGCAGCTTCAGGAGCTGCTAGACCGAGAGTTTATCTGTCCGAGCAGTTCCCCATGGGGAGCACCGATCCTGATCGTGAAAAAGAAGGATGGGTCACACAGGATATGTATTGATTATCGAGAGCTGAACAAGCTAACAGTGAAAAACCATTATCCGTTACCGAGGATCGATGATTTGTTCGATCAGCTACAGGGTGCGTCTTGGTTTTCCAAGATTGATCTTCGGTCAGGGTATCATCAGATGAGGCTTCGGGATGAGGATATACTGAAGACAACTTTCAGGACTCAGTATGGGCACTATGAGTTTGTGGTGATGTCATTTGGGCTCAGCAATGCCCCAGCAGCGTTCATGGATCTCATGAACAAGTGTGTAGACCGATGTTGGATCGGTCGGTGATTGTTTTTATTGATGATATTTTGGTCTATTCTGAGACCAAGGTGCAGCATGAGCAGCATCTGAGGGAGGTATTGGAAACACTGAGAACGGAAAGGTTGTATGCCAAGTTCTCAAAGTGTGATTTCTGGCTGCATGAGGTGTAGTTTTTGGGGCATATCATCAACAGGAGGGCATTTCAGTTGATCCATCAAAGGTTGAGGCAGTGATGCGGTGGGAAGTACCGAAGAACGCATCCGAGATCCGTAGTTTCTTGAGTTTAGCGGGCTATTATCGGAGATTCATCCAGGATTTCTCCAAGATTGTTGTACCTTTGACCCGCTTGACCAAGAAGAATGTGACATTTCGATGAGACACGGATCAGTAGTTGGCTTTTGAGACCCTGAGACAGAGGTTATGTGAGACACCGATTTTAGTACTACCCGAGGGGCTGGATGACTTGGTGGTGTACTGTGATGCATCGATCTCATGGTTAGGCGCGAAACTGATGCAGAGGGGGCATGTGATTGCCTACGCCTCGAGGGAGTTGAAGCCTCACGAGGCGAATTACCCCACTCACGGTCTGGAATTGGGGGCAATGGCGTTTGCCCTCAAGATTTGGAGGCACTACTTGTATGGGGTACTGTGCACTATTTATACTGATCATAAGAGTCTGAAGTATTTGATGGATCAACAGAACCTCAACATGCGACATATGAGGTGGTTGGATGTGCTGAAAGATTATGACTGTGAGATCTTGTATCATCCAGGGAAGGCCAACGTGGTAGCTGATGCTTTGAGCCACAAGACGGCGGGTTCCCCTATTGGGAACATATGCTTGAGGATGAAGGTGATCTCTCCATTGTTGGATATGATCAAGGAGGCTCAGGTCGAGGGTGTGAAGAAATAGAATTAGAAGATAGAGCGGATTCGGGGTCAGTATCCCTTGTTTGTTAGGGATAACCGAGGTCTTCTGACACAGTGTGGCCGGGTATGGGTACCGGTGACTGGAGGAGTGAGACAGAAGATATTGGAGGAGGCACACAAGTCCAAGTTCTCTATACATCCGGGAGCTACGAAAATGTATAGAGATCTGAGACTGAGCTATTGGTGGCCCTACATGAAGTGGGAGATCGCTTGGTTCGTGGAGCGGTGCTTGACCTGCAGGAAGGTCAAGGCCGAGCATCAGAAGCCTCATGGAAAAGTTCAGCCGCTACCCATTCCCATGTAGAACTGGGAAGAGATCATTATGAACTTCATCACGAAGTTACCGAGGACAGCGAGGGGTGTGGACGCCATATGGGTGATTCTGGACAGGTTGACGAAGAGTGCCCATTTTATTCCGATCTCGGAGAGTATATCCGCTGAGAAATTGGCAGATATTTATGTGCGAGAGGTGGTGGCTAGACACGGGGTGCCAATGTCGGTAGTCTCTGAAAGAGATGTTCGGTTTACATCTAGATTCTGGAAGAAGTTTAACGAGGAACTGGGCACTCAGTTGCATTTTTGCACGGCATACCACCCCCAGACAGATGGTCAGAATGAGAGGACGATCCAGACACTTGAGGATATGCTTCGGGCATGCGTGTTGGATTTTGGAGGGAGTTGGGATGCATACCTCCCATTGGCAGAGTTTTCATACAACAACAGTTACCATGTCAGTATCGACTGACCTCCGTTTGAGATGTTGTATGGCAGGAGATGTAGGACCCCGGTTTTCTTGGGGTGAGGTTGGACACCGAGTCATGGGTAAGATCTGGAGTTGCAACTTCAGATCTGGACTCCTCTAAATCCTTAGAGTTATAAACTTGCTGAATTTATCAAGCTTGGTCCTTCTCTTTGGCTAAAACCCCACTCTTAGCTTGGTTTTAGCAATTAAGAGCTTACATGCACATAAAGTTTGCAACTTTACGTGGAAACCGTGCCTTAGGAGGCTAGATCTACAATCTGAAGCTTTGGAGTAGCTTAAAAACGTCTGAACACGAAAAGGACTGAAGGAACTCGTCGAGTCCCTTAGCCAACTCGACGAGTCGGGTAGGGTTTACCCGTTTTCGAGATTCTGAATGAGTGCAGTGAAGGATTAGAGTTTTGGCTTGCGTGAACTTTTGGTCTTCTGGACATTTGATGAACTCAACGAGTCACTTAGGTGACTTGGCGAGTTGACTCGGGATTCAGTGGAATGGATTCGGGAGGAATCAGCCAGTTGACGAGTTATTCAGTTAACTCGACGAGTTGCTGGATGCACTCGACAAGTTGAGGTCAACATGGACTGTTGACCTTGACTTTGACCAGGGTTGACCAGGGTTGACTTTGAGGATAATTATGATATTTCGGGATTGTGACAAGTTAATCACATGATGATATGCGGTTGAGTTGGAGCAGTGCGCGAGAATTATCTGATCTTAGCTTGTCAGTTCAGCATTCGAGATGTGAGTCTTCTCACCATACCAATGGGTCTAAGGCACCAAGGCCGGCCCATTTAATGTTATATAGATTGATAGTTGGTTATGTGATATGTCACTAGGACATTTGTATGGAAGTCCCCGGGGGGTTCCCGTGGCAGTATATTAAGACCATGAGGAGGTTCCTATGGCATTTGGTATCAGTCCTTGGAGGGTTTCCACGGCTTCCTAGTATGTTTACTTGTTTAGCTCATATGATATTTCCATGATTAGTGTAGACCGTGTGGAGGTTCCCACGGCAATTAGCCAAGACCACATGGGGGTTCCAGTAGCGGCTGGGGGTTTCCCGTGGCACTTGGAGTAAGACCTTGGATGGTTTCCATGGCTTTCTTATATTCTTGTATGCATGGCTTATGTGATGTGTAGCTTTTATAGCTAATATGATATGTGTTATGCGGATTGTGTGTGGGTATACTCTGGGAAACTCACTAAGAATTAGCTTACAGTTTGTGGATTTGTTTCAGGTACATCTGACCCTAAGGGCAAGGGCAAGGTTTGATGACGCGGCGTGCATTCTCTCTCAGACGTTTTTATGGGACACTCTGATGATTTGAAATGAAATTGTTATTGTTACGAATTTGAAAACAATTGTATTTGGGATTTCATGGTTTATGGAAAGTGTTTTGGCTATTTAAAAATAAAAAATTTCTTTTGAAAATTTGGTCGTTACAGGATTTGTATAGGGATCCTTTACATATGTGTATATGTAGTATACTCTTGTATTATATATATATATATATATATATATATATATATATATATATATATATATATATATATATATATATATAATATATATATATATATATATATAAAAGGCATGAAATAAAATATAGGAATACAATATAAATCCTACCCGGTATTCTCTTTAATCAATCAAAAATGACGTTAGCATGCATCTACATGACTTAATTTATCAATCGCGTTTAACCTATGAAAATTTTATTCCTGATCCATCAAATGGTAGCAAATTCATTCTCCGGTGCTGATATTGTACTGAGTAAAACATTTACTTTATTTTTATTGGTTAATTTCATCGCTTGAGAGAATAACGATTTCATTCTTTTAACGGAAAAGACATCATATGCCACAAAAATCTCGCATCCCTGAGCGAGTTTTGTATCTAATTAGTTCTTTCTAGCTTTAGAATTTGGAAAAAATAATCTTGACCACGGTGCTGTATGAGAATTGTTGTGTTATAAAGAATTGTTCGTATAGTTCTATAAGTATATTGACACTGACTAATCTGATTAAACAATACTTAGTTTATTCCCTTGTACCAAGAAATTCACGACCATCGTCTAACCAATATTATTTATGGGTTTATATATCTTGATATAATTCAAAAACCGAACAAAATTACAGATTCAAACTTCATAACTTTAGATATATTCATTATATATGTACCCGATGTATCTTGCCATCTTCCCCTAGACCACACATGCTGAATCAGAAGCTAGGCTCGTGAACCACACAGAATCGGGCTGCTTGTCATCATTTCTATGCCATGTCCACTGTGCATGGCTCGCATTCACCACCCTCAGCTGCCCGTGCCCAAAGCTCGCCTCCCTGAATAGAGATAAATTCGGTTGTGGGTCTTTATACCTAGAAACAACAATGGTGAAAACAATTTATGATACTTCTTCGATATATAGTAAACCTAGGCTTGTTTACAATGTGAAACTTAACTTACTTCATTGCAAGACCTTCACGGTTGCCTCCATCTCCTATGGTGATATGAACCGGACCACACTTGTCAGCTTCTTCTTTGTAAACACGTGTCTATAAAAAACAAGAAATGGTTAAAATCCATTAACTCCTTGTTGATATAGAGAAAAACTTTCACTTTTTATGAAGGTAAAGAAGACTTACAAAGCGTTCGTATGCATGAACATGGCCAGCAAAAACAATATCAACACGAGCATTATAAAGCAAAGCTTCCATTGAATCCCTCATACGAGTGCTCTCTTTCTCCCCTTGATGTGCGCTGTTCGAATTGTACCATGGAGCATGAACAAGAGCAAACAGCCAAGGGGTTTGTTTTCTGTCGACCTTTTTGAGATCACACTCAAGCCATTTGTACTGGTTAGAGTCGGGTCCAAAATCTGTGTAGGACCCAAGCATGATCACATGGACACCAGCAACATCAAACGAGTAGAACAAGTTGGAACTAGAACCACTCTCTTCAAAAGGCATATGCCATCTAGCATTGTATGCTGTAAACCGCTCTTTATGGATGAATGGAATTCTCTCGACCTCGTGGTTGCCTTGTGTCACCATCCATGGTCGTTGACTTGCCAATGGCTCGACCAAGCGACCAAATGTGTCCCATGATGGTTGGTAAAAGTCGGCATATGCTAAGTCTCCCGGAAGTAGTAAAACATCATAACCAGTTTTTCCAATGTGTTCGAGTGTCGATTTAGTCCATTCAGTTTGGCCTAGATCTCCTGAGATTCTTAAAAAATCAATTTAATACCATGATGATAACTAGCAGTCGGTTGTTAAAGACTTATAAGGACTCAAAAACAATACCGGAAACTGCAAAATCAATCGGAAACTGAGCCGGAGGAGTTTGGAAACTGAGTTCCGGGCTTGAATCTAGGCCACATTTGTAGTAATACGTTGTGTTCGGCTCCAATGGACCAAGGACTACATCGTGTATTTGACCAGACTTGTACACGATGTATTTATACGAAGAACTCGTCCCCGTATTTGAAGCATCGTATTTCCCTTGAGATTTACCGTATTTTACGGTTGATGGAGTCGACTCTTTCGTAACCCACGATACTCTCATTTTCCCATTACCCGCTAACGATATGTGTACCTGTAATACTATGTAAATACTATCATTATAAGAGTATAACTGCATAAAGTACACTTACCTGTTGAGGAGACGTACTACTATGATCATCTGATAGGGACGCATAAAGAGACCTGCCAGCGGGAGGCCGGACATAGTCGTCAGCGCAGACGATTCCTACAAAAACGACGAACATCGCCAAAAAATAACATTTTGGCCTCCCGGAAAAACCCATGGATCGATAGTTTCAGAGTTTACAGAGAGAAAGAGCGAGAGTTATAGAGTAGAAAGAGAAACCGTCGTATTTAAAGAGACATAAATGTAAAGAAGTAACTGGATTTATGTAGTCCAACGTTGTTTCAAATACCTTGGAATATTAGAAAGGCAAGTTACATAAATTATACGTTATTCGTCGATAATAACTTATTAAATTCGATGTACGTATATCTTAGAACATTAATTAAACTGGTAATATCAAATTAAACAAATAAATGAGTTATAGATGTAAGGGGGGGTAACGTAAGGGGGGGCACGTGGGTCTTGGATGTCACGGCTATGTAAAGTGATCGATCAGTTGGGGGAGGTCTTTTGTGGTGTCACGCAAATATTCTGTTTGTGAAGAATTCTGTAGTCACGGGTCGTTATGCTTTTTGGAAATTATCAGGACTCAGGAGGCGATGTTTATCTGAATTTGGATTTTATACCATTTGCTTACAAACAAATGACACAATTCAAGGTGGTTGGGGGATAGCCTCTTATTATGAATAATGAGTGGGACTATTGCACTAGGACTATTGCCGTGATTTCGCTATTACGACAGTACAGTACAAGAAAAAAAAAATAGCGGCGACAAAAATCGTCGGTAAAGGCAACAGCAGCGACACGTTGCCAGTAAAAAATTGTTGGTACTGCTCTGTCGCTATCGTTCAAAATGTCGCCGGTAAAAATATTTGTCGTCGCTAATAAGATTGTCGCTGGTAATTCCATGTATCGCCGGTAATAACATTTTTAATTTTTTTTAATTTTTTTTAAAGCAACACTTTTTGGGTGCAAAAATAACCGATACGTAACGACATTAAATGCAAAATAATAATAATAATAATAATAATAATATATCATGACATCTGATTAGGTACCAAATGGTGTTATAATTAATTTCATACCAAAATATACAAATAAAGTGTTATAATTCCAACAAGTACCAAAGTGTCACAATAATTTTAACATACAAAACAAAAACTAATTATCCGACGAACCATCATCTTCGTTTCCCTCGTTTCCTTCTTGATCTTCCCCCGATTGAAAAAACGCATAAAGTTCATCCCTGCACGTCGGGTCGTTGAGTCTTGCCTGAAGATTTTCCAACTACAAAACATATATAAACTTATAAGTTAAACAATAAAAAATAAATACCAAAGTACATTGTTATTTTTTGCATGTAAATACAATAAATACCAAAAGTACGTTGCTATTTCTTGCACTTGGGACAAAAACACAATTATCAAATCAACATGCATTTACTGATGTCAAAGTGCATTGCTATTTTTAAACTAGGGACAAAAAACCAAAGTACATTGCTATTTCTTCCACTTAAACATAAATACAATTACAAACACAATTATCAAATCAACATGCATTTATTTATCATTATATACATATATGATACTTTGAAATTAAATAGTCTACTTTTTTGTGCTAAAGAACCTTAAATACAAGAAATACCAAAATACATTTGTAACACCCAGAATCAGGAAGATCAGGAAAGGAAAGAAAAGCTCTAAGTCAAAGGAGTCAACTCGTCGAGTTCAAGGAGGAACTCGACGAGTCGGAGCGTGACCCGTGTCGCGGAGTAAGTGACCGACTCGGCGAGTCGGGGAGACTGACTCGGCGAGTCTGGTCTAGGTTGGGAAACCCTAATTTCGGGACTTGGCACCCTATTTAAGCATCTCATTCCCATTTCTAGGGTTTCATTTACAGCCCCCACTGTCCAGAGCGAAACCCTAGTGTCCTCCATGAAAGTGTGAGCTATTATTGTATGTTCTTGAGTGATTTGAAGTCTAGAAGAAGAAGAAGGAGTTGGAAGAGCTAAGGAGTGATTGTAGATCCAGAAGGAGTCCCTCTTCCTCATCACTTTCTGGTAATCAAGCTCTTACCTTGATCTATGGTTTCTTAGATCTCTTCATGTCCCTTTTATGAGACTTTTGGGACCATTTCCAAGGCCAACCCGAGTATTTGTGCCTTTGAGGACGAATAGAGATTAGATCTGAGCATTTCTCAGCTCTAGAAGCTCTAAGTGAGAAGCTTTTCTCAGCTATGGTTTCCTTTCATGGCTTAGACCTCCATTGTAGTTTAGATTAGGATGTTCTAGCCTCATAACACCTTGCATGCACGTAAAGTTAGCAACTTTACGTGCAATGCTAGCATAAGGAGTCCAGATCTATGAGTTGGAAGTGTTGGAATAGACTGAAATCGATAGAATAGAGTTGTCACAAGGAGGACTCGGCGAGTCAGCTCATGGACTCGGCGAGTCGGGTCGCAAAACCCAAACCCTTCTGTTTATGAGTCGGATCAGTGAGTGGGGTTAGAGAAGGACTCAGCCAGTCTGTGCCCGTGATGGGCATGAAGATCATGGTACTCGACGAGTTCAAGGAGGAACTCGGCAAGTCCAAGGCAATCTCCTTAGCCGATGAAGATGGACTCGGCGAGTTGTAGAACAACTCGGCGAGTCGGTTGAAGATAGTCCCGAAGTGTTAGATGAAGGAGAACTCGTCGAGTTCTCGCTAGACTCGACGAGTGGAGTCGGGGTTGTTTGGGATTTGAGGAGCATGACTCGGCGAGTTGGTAGAACAACTCGACGAGTCGAGTCAACTGGAAGGTTGACTTTGACCAGGACCTTGACCAGTAGATCCTTAGCCCTAATCTAGCACGTAATTATCACATACTCATACCAAAACTATAAGCATACCACATGTATGGGTATTTTGGGAAAACTTACTTGAGCTCGGTAGATTGCATACATCGCACCCCTTTTTCTTAGAAAATCATTTTCTTTTAAAAGATTTTAGAAATACTCAGTTTGAGTTCAGACACACCCGAGAGTATGCCCGAATACCTCAAACCAAGGCTCTGATACCAACTTGTAACGCCCCAAAAATTCCTAGTTAAAGGTTCATTTTAACTAAGTCAAAACCATTCATTCATTATCCCAAAAGACGGTCATAATAAAAGTATTCTGAAAACATCAGAGTAAAATCATAAATAGTCAATGCGAAATAAATCTTCAGGGGATGCAGCGGGGTCAAGTCGGGCCCTTCTTTTTGAAACAAGTAGTACCTGAAAATATTTTTAACATAAATCATAAGCACAAAGCTTAGTGAGTTCCCCAAAATATCGCATACCATACATATACGTCAGCTCAAGGCTGCATCGGGTCTATTTCACCCCCGAGTCTATTTCAACTCAAATGTCAACTCAAGGTTGTTATGTGTCTATTTCACCCTCGATTCTATTTCATCCCCGAGTCTATTTCAACTCAAATGTTAGCTCAAGGCTGTACCGAGTGTATTTCACCCTCGGGTCTATTTCACCACTGACTCTATTCCAACTCAATTGGTATTTCTCAACCATACGGGTCTATTTCACCCCCACATACATATAGAAAACAGGCATACATGCATAAAACAATAGTCACAAAGACATCAAGCGCATACAACCCTAGTGTCCTATAGTATATTGAACAAACTCACTTGAACTATTCAATAAGAGCCCAATAGCTATCTCAGCAACAGAACATCCAACCCATGATTCCTAAAGCCTAACCAAAACAAATCCTTAGCTAAATGCTCGATTCTACTCAAGTTTGACCAAAATTCAAACTGGTCAAAAAGTCAATGGTCTAAGTCAAAGTCAAAATTTCCAACCAGTAGCCCTCCACGTTGTGGCCTTCCTTGGTCACGTCGTAGGCACAAAATGCCAAAACAGTCGCTAGTCCTCTAGTCGCCATGTCGTGGTAGCCTAAGGCCACACCGTGGGGACTGGTTGGAACAGCTCAAACGAGATTAATCCATTTTATTTTGATTTCAAGAGCTCCAAAGCTCAGATCTGATATTTTCCAATATCTTAATGGGTAAATTTTCTAACTTTATCCATTAAGAAGGTCCAAACCACCAACATCTAGACTTTAAGTCTCTAAGGGACCCAAAATGCATCTTTCTCAACTAAATCCATTAAGTCTAAGTCTCCAACTCTAACATCTTTAAAATCACAAAAATTTAAAATTTTTCGAAAACAACCCATAATCATAAAATGTCTACAAAAATCAATGTTTCCAAAGTCTTTATCAATATCAGAGTATCCCAAAATCATAAGGCCATAAAACAGGAGGATGCGTATGGTCACGCCTTCGCCTTTCCGTGATCATCAGAAGTACCTGAAACAATAAAATAAAACTTAAGCCAAAGCTTAGTTAGTTCTCCCAAAGTACCACCACATAAACATAACAAATAGCAACACGCATACATAGCCTTCAACATGACTGGACCGCCTCGCAGGGCCTACAACCTATCTGGACCGCCTCGTAGGGCCTCCGGCCTTACTAGTCCACCTCGCAGGCCTTCAGTCTATCCAGACTGCCCTGGGGATCTTGTGACAACCCGAAATATTTGGATCAAACAATGTCTAAATTGTAACTCTATTACAAGGAAAACCTTGGAAACCATTAGAACATAAATGCTTGTATATGGAAGCATACACCTTAGAAGTCACATATAAGGTAACCTCTTAAAAGTAAACAAGTTTATCAAGGAAAACTAGACAAATGAATTAGAATAAGAATCTTGAATCAAAAGATTGTCTAGTAGTATTAAGCTTAGTCTCCCTACCACCCTAGAGCATGGAAGGCAATAAGAATAATGACTTAAGCCAACCTATATGGATATAAATATGGGCAATAAGTTTTGTGGAACCATAATTGAATGCACCCTTGGCTAGTTAACAAGAAAACACCCATTAGACACCTTGTATGGAAGTTTTAGCACAATATCCCACTAAGGCCATCACCTTTGAGTGCATACTAGCTAAAAACATGAACACACCCTTGGAAAATCACCCAAAACCGTGAACACCTTCCCTTGGGCCACCCTTGGTCGTAAACCCTCTTCATTGGACTTTACTTGACCATAAACTCCCTTAGTGGACCTTACTTGACCATAAACTCCTTAGTGGGCCCCTTGGGGCGTAAACACCCTAATAAAACAAAGATAGGCCGTGAACACACCCCTAGGTAGTGCCTAGGACGT